TGTGGGGCGCAGCGGGGGAGGGGCGTGTAGGCGCTCGATGCGAATGAGAATCTCAGGCAAGTGTGTGGGGCTCGAGAAGGTGGACGTCCTGGGCGAGCCTCCTGAGCAGAAAGGCTTGGGTGCGTGTGTGCGTGTGTATTCTTTTTGTTTGCATCGACCGCGCTAACCGGCTGACCAATAAAAAAAGTCAGTCTCGGTGCGGTTGAAGACACATGTGCTCTAGACGTGTGTGTGTATTTTTTTTTGAGTTAGCATTGACCGCGCTGATGGGCTGACCATGAAATGACGTCAGTCTCAGCCCGGCGGAACAACGGTGTGTGTGTGTGTGTGCGTATGTATGTGTTTCTTAGTAGGCATCGACCGCGATAATCGGCTGACCAATCAGCGGAAGCCCGTGAGTTAGCGGGATAGAATATGCCAACACGTGATCGGGCTCCCCGGGCAGGGGGGGCGGGCGGAGGGCGTGGTCTGCGTGTGTGTGCATGTGTGCCTGACAACAATGGTGCGCTTTGTATTTTGCCGAGCAAGCGCTAACGCTGCTGAACGAGAACTCGTTCGAAGAATGGACGTGTCCGCTTTTATCTTTTTGTGTTTCCATTCCTACACTCTGTCTGTGAACAATATACTCCCCAATCGCATTGTTTTCGTCGATTGTACAGCCGCTGTTTGGCGGGGGTGGTGAACGTGGTGGATGTGGTAAGCTATCTATGTGGGTGCAATTGCATGTGGTCAGCACAGGGTTTACTTTGCTGGGGTGGGGTCCCATTTACTGCAACTTTTTTTTCTATTGTTGTCTTTTGTCGTACACTCCGATTTCACCCCAAAGTTTTGTTTTCCTTTACCAACACTGGCATAGTCAGGCGGCCGCTTGGAAACCGACGCGCGTGTTGGGGAACGTATATATTTCCAAGGATTTTCGAAGGATTGAGTTATAATAACATTTTTGAGATTGTCATTCGCGAGTGAGCATTTAAACACTAGTCTGCATAGTAACCCAGTTAGTTTTTATTTCGGTGTTGGAGAATTTCGTGTGCGCTGGCGTTTGTTTCAATAAACGTCTGGCGAAACACACCGACCGACCGTCAGTAGACGGTCGGCTGACGGTTTCACGGGAGTCGTGAAGAAAGAGTTGTGTACGCGCGTCGAATGGGAGCAGGCTGTTAATACGATAGTGGCGTGCATTGTTTGCATCTTCTTCTTGCTTTCGTGTGCGGTGCGAAGGAAGGTAGCGAGGATTGTTTGGCATGGCAGATAGATCTCTTCGGAAGGAACCACCTCCCTCCGTGTGGGAGAGAGGCCTTCCTCCATCCATGTGGACGTCGTGTTTATGGCGTATGTTGCATATTCTGAGGCAAGCGCGAGGTCATGGGAAGGGGGGGGGGTGATTGGGGGGTCGGTTCCTGTTGCCCTTGCACGTACTCTGTGTCTTTCGCTCGGTGTATGTTTTTCTCTTAGCCTGGTTGGGTTCGGAAGGACGAAGACCAGAGAGACAGCGAGCACACACGACAGAGGCGATATTTGTTGGCTACACCTCATGGTATTGTATATTATACCACGTGCGTGCCTGATGCATTGTTGTGCCCGTGTCGGGGCAACACGCTTGCGCGACGTTTCACAGATATTAGTTTCTTTTTCACGTTGCCAGCCCCCCGCTGATGGGTATCGTTTGGGACACCTCACGGGGCTATGCATACATTATTTCTTAATTAGCTACTAGGTAGATAGATGGCGTTCTTAGGTACATGCTCGGGATCCATCAAATCATGCGGTACGTACATACACCTCACCTTGGTTGCATGACTGTAATGTTCTGTTGCAGACGATTCGTGTTGTCGCCTCTTCTTTGAGAAGAGATGGTGGGACTGCTAGACGTCTACCGAGTAGGGGCGCGGGTACAGTATGCACGTCAGTACATGGAGTTGGGTTGGGTTGACGAGTGGGGTTTACAACTGTGCAGCGCTGTCGAAACACACACCATACAAGGAAATAGAGCTCGGGACGCAAAAAAAGTGGTATGTGGTAGATGGCTGTTCCTTAGAGAGGGCTCAAACATTAAATCATGAACGGCTTCGCTTATTACGCATGGGTGGTCGATGTGGGGAAGACGGGGTAGGTGGCCATCGTATTGTGTGTGTAAACGGCAGGTGCGGGTTGGGTTGTCATTTTTTTTTTAGGACGTCGAATCGATATTGCTAGGAAGGTACATACATACGCATGCATATGTTTCGGGGGCCACTGCTGTAAAACTCGGACGCACCAATGGATGGGTAGGATAGAGTGCTTCGGCCGCAATAATTGTCGTATGCTTCATCGTACGGGAAGGGGCGGGATCACCAACTCATCGCGTGGAGCGGAGAAGTGCGGGTTGTTGTCTAGAGGGGGTCATATTATGCATACAGAAGTGTGTCGTAGAGGAAGTAGGTATTGTAGTGCGTATCTTGGGCAGGTAGTGGTCCGCGAGAGGTTTCACTTGGTGTTTGCGTGCACGCGAGACTGCGTTCGGTTGATTTATTCTTCTGTCACAAAAGGATCGGATCGGTGAGAGAAGTGCGGGTATTCTTCTTGCTCGGTCGATATTTAATCACCAAGAATCGAATCGGTGCGAAGTAAGTGTGGTGATGAGTGGTGGTGGAGTACTCTATGTTGGGGGTTGAAAAACCCACTGTCTGTCGGGGTGGACACGTCTGTCTGTATGGACATGATGGTTGGTATCTTCACACGATGTTTTGGATGGCACATGTTCGTCTGACGCTTGGCGACGGTGATGAGTTTCAAACTCAAATATGCTATTTATACCAATCAATATATTCCGGTAGTTGTCGCATCACAAGAGAGGCGGACAACATCACGCCGAGGAGCTGGGAAAAGGGGGTTTGTACGAGACGAGGGGCGTTGGGCGCATGCATCCCCCAGAATCGAAAAAAGGAACGCACGCCACACCTATGACACGCCAGACACCGTGTGGGCACGCGGAGGCCTTGCTTATTTGTGTACACGGGAGACTGGAGACAAGAGTGCCTGAGACACGTCTACCAAACCACGTCTCGAAATCATCGGGAGCACGAACACGGGCGTTTGCCACAGCAGCTTATCAACCTTGCCGACATCCATGTCGTCGGCGAATAAAGTTGCGAACCCTTCGGTCCGTCGTTCACAAGAGTTGGAAGGCGCTGGCGCCAAGCTGTCGGAAGACACCAACCAGTTTATTGTTGGTTCCTCGCGCATCGTTCCAAACAGCAGCAGCAGCATAACCACAAGACACCAACATCTCCCCTCCCGAACACACAACACAAAAACTCGACATTAAACGCAACACCAGCAGTCAGGTGTCTCCTCCCCATCTTCAAAATCAAACCGCCAAACATCAAGCCAACATGTCCTGCTGTGCTACCAGCGTTTCTCTTAAAGACAGCAGCAGTGTCCGCCGACAACTGCCATGTGGTATGCTAAATCTGTACTTCCGTCCGTCAAAGCTCGCATACGTAAGCGCCACTTTTTTCTCCCCCACTATTGTGCCATGAGATTCTTGGCAGGACAACTTCTGGGCTATAGCAAGCATGATGAGAAGCGAAAAACAAACACACGCGCATCTTTGCACAGCAACGGCTGACTGTGCACGCAATACGAGAGCAACACGCAGGCACTAGGTATGCATGCACCAGACGCATGCATCCAGGACAGAAACAAACAACCAACCAACAGATGACAACGAGCACCCCAGATGGGTTGTTGAGTGCATGACGAAACTGTTGATCTAGCAGCCGGTAGCGTCAGACGCAGAACTTTCTGTCGATGATGTTCTCAACTTGCGAAGTATAAATGTACGGGAAGCAAACAACCCTTGCCGGTAGTCAGTACAACCAGACATAACATGTTGATCACACCGCGCTGCCCCCTGCCGTCTGAACACGGCAGGGAAACCAGCCGCAGAAGCAACGGCAACAGCACGAGACGCACCCAAAACGAAGAAGAAAATTCTGTACATACATGGTCCTCGTGGGATGATGCTCGTATAGCCAATTCCCTTTGTGACTTGTCCAACGACAGATACGCCGTGGTGGTTCGCTGGTGAATAACCATTCCAAACCCACTCCGTCATCACACGGGCGATAAAACAAACACGGTGCTCGCTGACAAAACAACAGGAGCATCGAGTCAACTATCACGCCGACGTAGGGTCAGCAGAAGAAGACGCCCCCGCCTCCAAGGCCCTCGAGAGGTGCAATATGCGGTAGTCTCTCCTCTTGATGACTTCCCGCAGCTTGGCCACCTCGGCATTGGCCTCCTTTACCGAGTCCAGCTCTCCTGTCTCCGTCGCCATGGCCGCGCGAATCTCCCGGAGCTTGGCGAGCATCTCCTTCTGGTGCTGCTGCAGCAGAGTGTGCCCGTCGTTCCCGCCTGCTCTCTCCATCCAGCGGAGAAAAGGGGGGCTTTGTTTAGGGGTTGTGTTCGCAAGGGATGGTGCTCATCGTTAATCTCGGAGGCCGGCGTAAAATGCCCGCCCCCGGGGGCGATTCGCGCGAGACACCGGCGTCGTGTGTCGTGTAATGTGTATGCAAACCAAGAGTAAAACACAAGAGAAAGACACATCGTCAAGGTGCTCGGTCGGATGCAGACTCCCTCTGGAGCCAGCACGTGAGTTGTTCCATCTGTCTACCGTAGGTTGCATTGCGTGAGATACCACACCCCCTGGACCAATCTGGCGAAGGTCGATATCTCGCCAGGAAACGCAGTGATGGTGCAGAAAATGGCGGCGTTGGAACCGTCTCGTCGAGAGCTTTCCGAAAACGAAGTATAATTCAATCTCGTCATCCTCTTCGTCGTGGAGTAAGCAAGCTTTGAAAATCGGTCAAAGGGGGTGTGATGCCTTATGCAACCTACGGTACACGCCAGCGAGGTTCAAGGCAGACTGGTACGAAGCACCGCTTTTTGTGTAGAACCGCTCATGAAAAAACAGCAGTGTACAAGCTCACCTGCCAGCCCCTCGAGCTTGGAGAGCTGTTCGGTCATCTCCTGCTCAAAGGTAGTCGTGTCGAGGCCAGTAGTGCGCAGGGCGGGGAGCACATTGGATGAGTAGGGAGAAATCACACCGCGTATAGTATTTCGATTACATGGCCTACTCAAAAGTCTTCCGAGAAAATAGTGAAGTACCTGGTAACAACGAGAAAAATACCCACCGGAACTGCCATGAAGCTGAGCTCGAGGGACTGCAGCTGTTGCCGTTTACCTCTCCGCTGTAGATATTCATGTTGCCCTCTTGACGTGACAGGGCATGCATATTGCATGACGAGGTATCAAGGGTACCACTGCTTGCGGTACAAAGTAGACCAATCAACGCTACAGCGGCAAACAGAGACCCTGTAAGTCACATGTACCTTGATCTTGGATTCCATGGTACTAGCAAGAATCCGTCCAGCTGAGGAGCGAGGCGATAAGGTAGGGGTAGAGTGAGTCACGCCCTAAGCAGAAGAGCTTCGCGCAAAGTGCAGACCAGCACCGAGGTGAGGTGAGTCTCATGCAGCAGTCGCTTCGATTGGCAGCCCTAAAGCCCGCGGCACTGTCAACTAATTCTGCGTCGCCCCCTCGCCAATTTTCCAGATTTTCGCTGTGTGCTGCAGACGTTCCTCGGTTGCCTTGCCGCTCTCTTATCCTCTCCCGCTACCGCTCTATCGTCTCGAGATGGACCCTCAAGGCACTGATTCGGATACTATCCGGAAGAAGATTGAAGCTCTAGTTGCGAAGAAGGACTTTCGTGCCGCCGTCGTGAAATGCGAAGAACTCGAGATCTTGGTGAGACCTCTCTCTCTCCTGTCCGGACCTGTGTGTCGTCCACATGGCAGTGCCCGCCGCCGCCGCCGCCGCCGCCGCCGCCGCCGATATGAAAATCGAAAGCAACACCAGCTAGAGTTCGTGGTTATGCCTTGGTTTCAGCTGGGCTCTGGAACGGTGGCGTTGTTGAGTTCTCCTTCCTCTTGGCTACATAGCAACACAAATACCTCGGCACACACACAGCACACACAGGCGGGATAACCCAGCAACTGAGGAGAACTGCTGTGTACTCGTGTACGATTAGATTGCTTGCGCGTTTGAACGAGAGGCAAACCGCCGCTGCTCCTGCCTGTCGTTGCACCTGTTGTTGCGCACACTCTCTGCGCTGCCAGCTGCAGGGCTGCACCTCATATTCTCGCTTGCATTCTGCTTTGTGACTCTCTCTCTCTCTCTCTCTCTCTCTCTCTCTCTCTCTCTCTCTCTCTCTCTCTCTCTCTCTCTCTCTCTCTCTCTCTCTCTCTCTCTCTCTCTCTCTCCCCCCCTCTCGCCCTCTCTCTCTCGCTCCCTCTCTTCCCTCCGGGGATGGATTTGGTTTGATTTGTCTCCGCCTTTAGACCGCGTCGACGCCATTCGGACAGCAGCACCAAGACGCCGCCAATGTCCATCTGGCGCTGCTACTAGCTCTGGACGACGTGTGAGACATACATGCATAAGTTCGTCATCTATTAGCTGCCTGTCACCCCTCTGGGTTGTTGTCGTTTTTAGGTGGTATATTTTTATACTTTAGACACCACATCACTCGATTTGGGACGGATTGCTTTTCCCACAGCTGGAGGAGGGCTCATCCCCACCCTCAAGAAGAACGTGGAGAAACACAACAAGCGTCGACGGCAGTCGCCGAGAACGGTACCGTCGACTTCTGCTGTGTATGCATACGCCGATCAAGCAACACGGTCCTCCCCAGTGCAGCCTTCCCCGACCACAGAGGTTCGACCCAGCAGCGTCGCCCTGCTACTTCTGCCGCCGTAGGCCGCGTACTGCCGTAGTACACTAAACTTGTGCAAGGGACCAAATTTCCTCAGAGGTACATGGAGCAGCTCGACGAAGGCACAAGAGCGTGCCCACAACCTGCACCACGAAACCTCGTGCCCAAACAACTGCGGCAACGACACCGTTGCTCATCTTTGCTCTGCCTGACGTCCCTGTCCTCCCGCAGGAACAACGCGCGGCACCTGTGGAGACGGCTTCCTGCCGCAGCCAAAGCGGCGGGAGGCGAGACGGCCGCACTTTGGGAAGTGGGCAAGTCCCTGTGGAAGCGGTGAGATACTAGAGAGGTGTCGCAAAGGGGCAAAGGGGGTAGTTTCACGCAGTTATTGATGTTTGGGTTTTTTCCCCCCGCTGACACAAACACGTGTCTTTCGAGACGGATCACCGCCGTTCTTGTTATGATTACATTACATGATAATGTTGCTTTCAGCGTGTTTGCCAACATTTTTTGGGGTGGGGGAAGGTTTTTCGAAATCTTTTCGTCCCCTGTTGTGTTGGGGATGCCGTAGTCACTATCCGAGGGGGCTGGGGACCGACGAGACGTGCGGATAAACTGGCGACAAAGGAGGCGTTCATCCACGAAAGGGGACCGGGTGCGTGCCGAACACGATTGGGTGGGCGCGGGCGGGGATTTGGTAGATTTCGAGTGACTCGTGTTCCCAACTCGTTAACCTGAGACGGACTGCTGGTGGGGCGGGGCTGTAGGCTCTTCTGCTCTTCGAAAAAAGCTGACGTCATTGTTTCACTGCATCGCGGCGTTAGCGTTCGTGATTCCCCGTTTCGCCTTGTGCAATCGTCCTGCTCATTTTCCGATTACTCTTTTTTCAATGCATGCCGCCGCCGCTGTTTTTTTTTTTTTTTTTTGCATTGGAATCATTTTCACTGGAGCTATTTGCGATCCAACGACGCGCTACTGCTGCTGCTGCTGCTGCTGCTGTTGCTACCGCTGCTGCCGCAAATCCCACGACGATGCGCCCGCGAACAAAAAAAAAAAGGGACATGAGCTTTGCCCAGGCCGCCTTGAGGGATCGGGAGTGGAGCGCCCCCCTCGCTCCGTACGTGGCTCTCATAGAAACCCGAGTCAGGGAGAGGCAGCTCGCCATCATCCCCAAGGCCTTCACGGTGCTTCCGCTGGAGAGCGTGGCGGGCATGTTGGCCTGCAGCGTGGAGGATGCAGAGAAAGGTGAGGAAGATGACCGATTGGTCATGACCGATTGGTCCTCTTAAGAGTGGGCCGTTTGCTATTGCGAGTCCGTCCGCCGGCCTGCCGCGCGGAGCGTGGATTGGGGTGGGGTGGATCACGTCCGTCACGGTTGCGATGCTTTGGTGCAACTAGATATCTCTTGGGCGTGAAACACGATTGAAGCGTTGTTGGAGGATTTTTTTTATTACAATGCTTGTGTGAGAACAATTTGACACTATGTACCCACAAGATCTTGATCTTGACGAGATACAGCGATCGGGTCACACGTGCATGTTATTTTGTCACGTGTATGCGAAGATCGGCTTTTTGTTGTTGTGGCTCAGTCTCTCGGGAGAGACCTCCATGTGGCGCACCCACCAGGCGAAAGGGTGCACATGGCAGACGATGATTCCAGGCTCTATATTTTGACTCTTTTTTTTTTTCCTTCGGTCGAGCTGTCCAACTCGTGTCGTGTGCACCGTTGCTGGAGTGTGCGTATCTCCGTTTTTTTTTTTATCGCGGGGGCGGCAGTTTGACGAGTGTGCGTGTTGTGCGGCGAAGCAATGTTTTGAACGGGCTGAGATGAATGACGAGCCCAGCGTAAGGGGGCGATTTTCCTAAGCGAGGGAGTTCGACATGGTATAAAATGCAGGCGGCGGTGCTTTCGGCAGCAGGAGGGATCAATAATTCGGCGTGACTCGGTTGTGTTTCGTAGAGAATGCACGGGTGTAGGCGCGAGCGACGTAAGGGGAACCTCTGGAAAGACATCAGACGTTTATTGACGTCCTCAAGCCGACGCTGTTTGGAACGCCTTGTCTTTCGCCTCGTCTCGACGAAACTGAACTCAATATAAGTATACTTTCCAGACTCTTAACACAACGCACACACACGAGAAAGCCGCCCTCCTTCAACCAAGCACCCGAGGACCTCCCTCATGGCGATTCGCGCTTGCTTTTGGTGCAAGGGCCGGCCTTTGATGTCCATAACCCGACTTGCTCCTCCTGCTTCAGGGGCTACGCGGTCTGGAAGTAACTCTGTAGGGCCTGGATCACGCTCAAATGGCAACGAGCACCCCCCCAACCGCCCGACACATCGCTCCGTTGTATATAGTCCTGTACAGGGATTCGAAGTCTATGATCTAACGACTACGGCATGCGTTTACATGAGTACACCCCCTCTCACACCTTCCAACTTGTTTGACTCTCAACCCGCAGCCTGCCTCAAGGAAGGGTGGGAGGTTGATGCTACCGCCGAGAAGGCGGTCAAGCCCTCGGTAAGGCTTATCCCCGACGACACCATCCCTGCTGCAACGCCGGACTACCTGCAGAAGATGGCCAACCACATCGCGTTCCTCGAACGGCAAAGCCAAGGTTGATACTGATGTTTGGGGGGGAGCTAGAGGGTAGATAGCGTTTTTTTTTTTTGGGGGGGGGGGGCGAGGAGATTTCGGCAAGGGGCGATCAAGTTGATTGTTATTGTAGATGATTGTGATGGTGTTGGTGTTGAAGCTTGGGGGGGGGTGATGGTTGTCTCGTGTGTCATCTTAGGTTTTATTTATAGGGCCTGTTGCTTGTTCGGGCTGTGTGAGGTTTTGGCAACGTTTCTGTCTCGGTGACATGGGATAGCACGAGGAACCGAGCGACAAAGTCAGATGAGATGATGATGATACACGACGATGCGAATCGATTGAAGGTGACTTGAGGGGGGCTAGCTTGTCAAGAGGCACGGTAGAAGTGTGTGGACGTGGCGTTGGTGAAGGGGGAGGGAGCAGTTTCACCAACATCCTTGGAAGAATCAATGGTCGAGCTCTGGTAGGAACCGTCGACGTTTGTTGGGCCCTGCTTTCGGAGTGTTTTCCCTCTGCTGTGTATTCCGTTCCCCTTCTTCTCGTGGCGGCCTCGGTGTTTGTAGTCTATGTGCATGTCCTGGCGTAGGTGTGATGATTGTCTATAGAGTGGGTCTGGCGATATCGAATGTAGTTTTTCTTTTTTCAGAGCTGTTGTGGGGACACCATGGCACTTGTTACGGACATACTCGTGAGACTGCTACCGCGTTCATCCACTGCTCGGTGCACTTGTTGCCGGTGCCCGTAGTCCCGAAAGGCTGTCTCAGTGCACAAAAGCGAATACTGCTGTGGTAGCTTGCATGTGTTGCACCTATTTTGCCCATGAAGCGGGCGAGGAGAGGAGTCGTCGCAATTGCCGCGTATCGAACGATATTTGTGTGTTTTGTGCTACAGCAGTAATTGGTCGTATTTGATGTTGTCGTTTTTTTATGAGCCCCAACCCGATTCCTGCAATCTTGCACAATTACCAAAAGCGCGCGTGAGGGAACGACCCATATCCACGAGATGGGGCATGATGAGCGAGCCACGAGGACAAACCCACGTCACTTTATTGAAATGGCCGCCAGGAGTGATTCCCCCCCCCCCGGCTCAACCAAGCCACGAGTCTCGCTCGAGTATCAGACAAGACAAACAAGATTGACTAACGAGCAAGCGAGGGAAGGCCAAAAAACACCGTTTCATCGCAAAAGAGAGATCTAGAGAACGGATACTGTGATATTTGCAAGCGATTCAGAACGGACATGACAGGCAACCAAAAAAAAAACGCCCTTCTTTCTGTTAAGGAGGGTAAACCCGACAACAGAGCGGGAGCCCAGATGAACTGAAGACCCACCCGCCGCGCCGCATGTTCCGTTTCGCGGAATCTAGACACGAACGCGCTCTCGGCCGCCTGGAAAACCTTTTCCTACTGGGCCGAAGAGAGGCGGCGAAACTAACTTCCACCAGACAGCAGAGCCCACGAAGCGGCACAACATACCCACCCTCACCAGACGTCGTCGGGGAACCCGCGAGGCGCTCGAGGACCTACATGCCCGCCACCCCGGATTACGCGCATGAGCTCCAAGAACAAGCGCCGACGACAAGTCACGGTACCGGAGAGGAACACGCTCAAACAGGGTACACCGAAACACCACGCACGCCAAAATCGAGCATTTGCCACCGGAACACACTCTGGCTTGTGAGCGAAGAAGAAAGGGGTATGCAGTCAGTCTCCCGCGCACACGCTCGAGACGGGGGGGGGGGGTCCGACAGACAGGACGAAAACACACTCTCGCCTAAGAGACGTAACTTCCGCTGCGACATAGAGAAGAGAGAGAGAGAGACCGAAACGACCAGAGTGGGAACAAAATAATGGCAGCAGGCAAGTCGAATGCAAGAGTCCGAGATGTCGGAGCAGAAAAAGGGGAACAAACAAACAAGCGGCGGAATAAGAACGAAGCTCTGCAAAGATCCGTTTGCCGCCTCGATGCTCAACGTATGTCCTCTCTTTACCCTCTCTTCTCCGGCGATTTACGCCGCATATAATCCCCCCCCCCCCCCCCCCGCCACGTGTAGCCCCCAACGAGATGCGGCAAACCCCAAAATTCCTAAATTAGATGATCTACTTTGCTGGTTCCTGGATCTCGATCTTGTTCCCCCGCCTGATCTGCCCCCAGCCAATCAGACGCCAGTGCTGTTTCGGTGTGTAGCCAAAACAAAAAAAGAGCGCGCGAGGGGAAGGGGGGGGGGGCAAAATGGGATCAAAAATCGAAGGACAAGGGTGAAACCGAACAAGCTGCAGCAAGCCCGGTACATGACGTCAGCGAAGCACCGCACGTGGAACACCTACAACCTTGATACACACAGAGACATAACTCAAATCACAAGAGAAAACTCAACAGAAACACCCAAAAAAAACAACGTCCAAACCCAACACAACGGGACAGTGGCACACTCAACAACGACAGCGTCAACGAAAAACAAGCGCACGACACAAGACTACTGTAGCGTGAGAGAGAGAGAGAGAGAGAGAGAGAGATGTATGCGTACCTTGTCCACACGCCGCGAGAGCGCGATCTTCTCTCCTTCCTGGGTGCAGACCGGCTGCGTCAGGAGAATCTTTGCCAGGTCCTGCTTGACCGCCAGCACCTTGCCCCCCGAGGCCGTGGATCCGATGTTGACCATCAAGATCTCCTGCCTCTGGAGCTTTTGCACCTTGGCCTGCACAAGCGTTAAACACACGAGCGTAAAAAACATTGACGGGTTTGTTGGCGAGCGTTTGATGTGTCTACGGTTTCGGCGTGCAACCAACGAAAAAAAAAAAACATGGGGGAAAAATCGTGTATATAGGGCATGTGTGTTCATGCATGTGTCAGCGTGAGATGTTGATCTTGAGTGACGTCATAATTCTTGGGGTGATTTCATGGGCGCCAGGACTTTCTTGTCATATCTGCGGCAGTCGGTACAGCGGTGGGAAAGGGGTTGACGCGATGGACCCGTGATCCGGTCGCGTGCGTCCGGCTACAGGACGCGTTGGGGTATTGTGGAGGCAGTCAGGGGACGTCAGCGGGAACGCGAGTGTCGCGCGTGCTTTCTCTGTGGATGTCCATGTCCTAGAGACGCAAGCTTGAAAAAAAGGCTATATATACATCCGGAGCAAGAGAGGGCGCGATGTGCATGGATGGATAGACAGTCATAGTAAAGATATACACTGAGACAGAGACAGAGAGATATAAGAGAGAGAGAGACAGAGGAATCGAGTCACCAACATTGATGTGGTGGGTGGTGGGCTCATCGTCAGCGCGAATCGCAAGGCCAAGCGTCCTTTGTTACAACAAATAGGACGTTTTGTTAACAACAAACAGAAGGCTTTGTTGCGTGTGGGATTCATTCATTCACCTGCTTGCCGCCCTCCTGCGTCTTAACTCCCAACAGACGCCGGAGGAGGTAGAAGCTGATCTCCACCTGGCGTGATGCAATGAAAGGACAAATCACCGGCATGGACCAGTGTTCAGAAGGGGGGGGGGGTACTCATGTTTGCATGCCTTAGCTGTTACACCATTGACCACGCGTCCTCGAGAGGGCGAGAGCTCAGAGCGGGAGGGGGGCGGGGGGCGTTTTCTAATGTTCTGCATGCCTTACCGGCTTGACCTTTGACCACGCACCCTCCAGAGCATTGTTCACACAGCACCGATCACCGATGGCCAACTGTTTCGTCGTACTGTGCCAAAGGTGGCTCACTGTTTTCCCTAGTCTAACTATCTATCCTATCGATATAACTTCCCGCCTTTTCAGCCCACTTCCTATGTCCCAGTATTGCTGCCGTCCTCTCTTGGCTATGGGGGGGGCCGGGGTTGAAAAAAAGGGGCACATTGTACATACGTAGATCGATAAGATGGCTCTACCTGTCTACCCCGTGGGGGTGTAGCTCGAACCATGGGATGGAAAGACATCCATGTTGCTGTAGATGAACGCATGCCATCGCCGTGATTGAACCCACAACGGTATCACCACCCCACGTAATACGTTACCGATCTACCCCAACTCCCCTGCAAAAATTTTCTACAACCGAAAGTTCGAATTCTCAATACTCAAAATTAGGCCCTATCAAACCACCACCCGTTACCAAGCACACGCCCAAAAAAACAGTCCTGCCGCACTCCCTTCCAACGATTGCGTGTGTGGAACGTCCATACGACTCCGTTTCCTCTTTTCTGGAACAAAATCGCACACAACTCTGAGCACATCGTTCGCGGCGAAAACACCCAAGTTCCGTCGTCGCTTACCTCCGTGAACACGTCCGGTAGGTTACCCTTAAGCCCGAGCACCTGCCCCACCAGGCGGTCCGCTCGCGTGAGCGTCGGGTCCACCCTGGTTCCCACTCCGATAAGCCCGCCGGGCACCGCGAACTTGAGGTCGTTCTGCTCCGCGTACAGCGACAAGATCTTCGAGAAGATCGGCTCGCACTGTGGGCGCCGTTGTCGTTGTCGTTGGTCGGAAGTGTGTCCATATATCATAAACACGCGCATCGAGCGCACGGGGAGGTCGGAAAGAAATACATAGATTGAATCAGGAAAGACGAGAACAAACATGAGAACACGAGCGGATGCCTGAGGGTGTTGTGGGAGGTTGAGCGTATCTTCATGTGGCACGCGGTGCATTTACATACCTTACCGCTAGGAGGAAAACAATGGAGAGAAACCTCGGGGGGGGGTGGGTGGGAACTCTACACCCCTTCTTGGCCGACAGTTACTGCCGGCGCACGCGACTTCCTCGGGCCCCTCATTTCTATTAGCCCTTGGGGCTCGGGGGTCGCGATTTCAAAGCGAAATTACTTGCAGGGCATCATGATAATCTTTCTACATGCAGTGAAGACAACGACAACAACAACAACAACAAAAATGGTTCTACATTGGTATGCCAAATAACAACAACAGCAACAGCAGCAACAACAAGTTGTTTGTATGTCAAGACGACAACAACAACAAATACTGTTTCTGCCAAGATAAGAACATCAGCGACAACAACAACGGCGACCGCATCAATACCGACACTATTCACGAAATGACAGCAAGTAGTCTTGTGGCGTAACACGTACCCTAACGTTCCCCTCGGGATCTTTAGTAACGATGCCCGGGCGGACCTCGATCTCATCCCCTACCCGCAGCACGCCCTGAACGATCGAACCACCCGCCACACCTGACACACACGAAAAACAAGGGCAAGGGGGATACCGTACCGTAGAAAATACGGTAGCAAATCACGGAACGACGACGAGGACCCATCAAACATCCAGATCGGCGACATTGTAAATATTGTCATCCCATTCATTCTGGACGTCATGGGAGTAGAAAATAACCGAAATGGCAGCAGTGCGGCAACAATATGGAATTCAACTGGGATTGAGCCTCTCTCAAAAGAAAGTCACCCACTGATTGAAACGACACAAGAACACACAGAAACTTGTTGGGGGCTTTTGTTTGCTGCGTTTTCTGTCCCCGATCCACAAGACATGACGTTATTTCATTGGTCAGCCGATTTAGTGCGGTCGGTGCCAACTGAAGACATACGCACACACGCTCTCTGTTTTTAGCCGCACTTAAGACTGACGTCTTTTCATTGGCCAGCCGGTTAGCGGTGGTCGGTACGAAGTACTCTAAAGACACACACACGCACACGCACAAGGCCGACGGGCTTTTCATTGACCAGCCAGTTAGCCCGGTCGATGCAAAAAAAAAAAAAAGACGCACACAAACACACATATTGCACGCACCTCCCCTGAGGTGCTCCACCTCCTCGCCGGGCTTGTTCACGTCGAAGGATCGGATGATGATGAGCCGCGGCACGCTCGTGAAGTCCCGCACCGGGATGGGAATCTTGCAGTTGATGTACTCGCACACCACGTCGATGTTGTACTTGAGCACCGCGCTGATGGGGATGACGGGGGCGTCGTCCGCCACCGTGCCGGCGACGAACTTGCGGATCTGCTCGTGCTGCAGCATCGCCTGGTCGTGCTTCACCAGGTCCACCTGCGAAAGCACGCACGCACGCACACAGAATCGTCGCACGCTATGGACGTCAAAGTGTGTGTGTGTGTGTTTTTTTTTCACGTGTAGTCGTGGGGGTGGCTAGCTATGCTTGCCTACGCCCAACGTGTGTCTTGATGTTTCTGTGTGCGTTTGGTGTCTTAAATACCTCTGCTTGCTTGCGTCCAACGTGTGTTTACACGTTTTCGTTGTATGCTGACTAGCCTTGCTTGCGTGCTCTTTTGGTTCTCTCGAAGCGAAACAAACGGGTGCGGTGAGCAAAACGAGGGAGATAGACGGGGCAAAAAGTAAAATAAAATAAAAAACGGGACTCCTATGTACAGACGACGTCGACCCCGTCCTCTGCGTTTAGGGGGGAGGGAGATCGAAAGCCTTCCCCTCGTGCAATCTTTCTTTCCGCTAGTGCGCCCACACCTTCGTCTTGCTTCCAGAAAAAACAAAGGCTCGCACCGGCAAAAAGAGGGGACATAGAGATGCCGGGATGATCTCTTCGAGGGTTGCCTCTACAGTCTTTAGTCGTTTCTCTTCTCATACTATTATACCACATCTGCTGGCCGCGCAAAAGTAGCTTCCTCGACAAGCGTTTCACGTACAACCGGTCGCCGCAGACTGCCGACCCTCTCTCTCTCTGGTTCAATGTTCTTTTTCAAGTTTAGAAGAGTCAGCATGTCAATATTTGCTGACGGGGAACGGAATGTACTTCTCCAGCATTCGTTCTTACCACATGCGAAACACGTCATCACTATCGTTGATTCGCCTAAATCCAGAGTCAGCACACTAGCGTTGGTATAAGGTCAGCGGCAATTCTTGACAAAGAGTGAGCAGCCCCATGACAGCTCCAACAAAACCTCTACACACACACATTTCGTGTTTTCAACCGCTCTGAGGCTGACGTATTGTCATTGGACAGCCGACTGGTGCGGTCGATGCTAAAAATAACAAAGACGCACACACACACACACAAACGCACCTTGTTTTGAAGGATTATGATGTTTTGGAGCCGCATGATCTCCACCGCGGCCAGGTGCTCGCTAGTCTGCGGCTGCGGACAAGTCTCGTTCCCCGCTACCAGAAGTAACGCAGCGTCCATCACCTGATGGTCGAGTTTCCGAGGGGGGTGGTGGGTCGTAACGTAAACGCAATCTCGGACTGTGTGCGTTCGGGTACGTCATTTTCGCCATCAACGAGCCAGGGGTAGAGAGCACGTACGGCGGAGAACAGACAGGGAGCAGAGTGACCTCACCGTATACCGCGAACACACACAAGTATAGGAGAAACACACAAACATGGCGTCAGCGACGCGACGCTGCTACTGCCCCAAGTAACATGAGCGGCAGGCCAACACAAGCGCACGGCACCAAGAAGACTCATAACGGACACGGCGACATGTGTACGCCGCAACCACCGCACCAGGGTACCATATTTCAACTTTGTGGGTACCAACAGAAAAATGTTTTCCCGGCTTGTTCGAAATATCTCAAACATCGTCGAAAAGCCGCTTCTGGGAATGTCTCAAGACAGGTTTGGGGTGTTCGGCTAGCTAAATAGAGCAAAGAGACGCGGCAGCAGCAGGAGCAGCAGAGTGTGTCTCTCGCTTACCGCCGCGCCGTTAAGCATGGTGGCCATGAGGATGTCGTGCCCCGGGCAGTCCACGAAGGAGACGTGTCTCTGCAGCTCCCACGTCTTCCCGTCCTCCTCAAACCTGTCACCGTGGTGGCTCCCCTTCGACCTGATCACAAGAGAGGGCGATTGCGTACGGTCTCAAACGTAGTCACAAAAATGGGCGGGTACACGGCGAGACATGATGCGTTGGCTAGGGTACGCACAGAGGTGGCATTCTGCGGCGCCCCCCACCGCGCCCTAGATGCTTATGTATAACCCTTGATTTGTCTTGTACACATGTCTACACACACACACAAAGCAGCAGCTGTAGCAGCAGCAGCTGTAGCTCTAGCCGTGAGCAAGAGGGTTGGTATACTTCAGCCGCGGACCCGCCTGCTGCTGCTGCTGCTGCTGCTGCTGCTTCATATACATATATCTGTGAACACCCCGGAGAGGCAATTAAGGTGTAGACTAGACTACCTGAAGTTTCCTGGCCCCGGCACGGCTCCCTCGACAGCCTTGAAGATCTTGGCGTTCGCGTACCCCAGCTTGATGGTGATGTTACGCTCCAGCTCATTCTTGAAGCGAACAGTCTGTCGCATCACATCAGCAAGGGCAACATTCAAAGCACGAGCAAAGCAGCCGCGGTGAAAACATCAAACCAACAACACAAAAGCAACGTCAAACACCAACAGGGTGGCGTTAGCGACATCGGGAGCCGCGGGGGGGGGGGGGGGGGGGGGGGGGGCAAAACCCCACCCGGGGAAAAAACCCCCCCGAAACCCCAAAATTGCCTTCCCCCCGGGAAAATTGCCGGGGGCCCCGGGCCCCAAGGGACCAAATTTGAGGGGCCCCGGGGGGGGGAAAACCCCCGGGGCCAAAGGAATTAGGGGACCCGGGGCTAAAATTTCCAAATTTTCCCAAAGGGGGGGGGGGGAAGGGAAGGAAAAACTTTAAAAAAAAGGGGGGGGGGGGGGGGGGGGGGGGGGAAAAAAAAAAAGAGGGCCCAAAAAGGGATGGAAAAAAAAAAAAAAAAAAAAAATTTTACCCCCCCGGGGGCCGGGGGGGGGGGTTGGGGCCCCCCCCCCAAAAAATTTTTCCCTTTACAGGGGGAACCCGGGGTAAA